CTACATACTACACCCCGACCCCCCCCCCCCAATCTAGTAAATGCCAGAGCACCCCCGAAGGAACGGGATAGTTCCAGAAACGTGGCGCGACACCAGTCATGTGACCTCGCTGACGCAACACTATATATATCAAGATTTAAGGTCTGGGTAACTTAATTATCTTTGTTCATACAAACTTTTTTATTATTATTCTGTACAAGCGTCTCATTTATGTAAAGTTAATTATAAGTTAGACACCAAACTGCAAAAAACGTTCAATTTGCAGAGTGTGTGTGTCTATACGCACACACACACAGTGTGGCCCAAAAGTAGGTATACAGTTGATAATTTAATTAACGGCACATTACACGGGATATATAATTATGGGAAGTTAATCCTGCAGGTGATCAAACTGAAACCCGTCGCTGTTCACACAATTCTGGAGTCTGCCTGCCACACTTCTGCAAACTTTCTGACACTAGTCTGTCTGCCTGTCCATCAAGTTCTTTAAATGCGTCTGTGATGTACCTTTCATTTCGTCAACATTCCGCGATTTTCTTCTGTCCTTGAGTACTCACCAGAAGAAAAATTGTATAGGAGTACAGCCCGGTGACAGTGGAGGCTTCTCGATTGCGCCTTTGTGGCCTATTCATCTCTGAGGGAAATTTTCATTAAGACAATCTCGGACTGCATGAGCGAAATGGGATGGTACCCCATCTTGTTGAAAGTAGAGCTGAGGGGAAATCCAGCCTCTGCTATAACTCTAGAATGATGCAACTGTATACCTACTTTTGGGCTACTATATATATATATATAATCGATAATAAATAAGTAAAAACAAGCTTCGGTAATGTATTTTATACCGAACTTTTTCACTGTGACAGAGGCGGCATACAAAAAGAGTTTATTGAAAGAGATAATCTTTTGGGTTAGAAATTATAAGAATTTAAAGCATCTTTTTGAACTTCTGACTGATAGTCAGGCCCGCCGACAGGGGCGGGGGGGGGGGGCGAGTGAAACCTGGTTATGCCGTAAAGTCTGCAAAGCTTTATTAAATACAAAGCTGTATTTGTTACTTTATAGATTTAATAGATATTTGTTGTTACTTTATTAACATTTTTACGCTTATACTGTGAGGTAAAAACGGCTGCTGTTATGATTTTGTCTGGTTTATGAGCTCGTTGCTGTCCTAATTTAGGATCTTCTTTTCAATAAATTCTTGAAAATGTTAAAAAAGAGAGAGAGAGAAAGAGGGCCAGGTGAGGATGTTTGCCGTGGGGCCCGTGCTGGTTCTCGACGTTCCTGCTCATAGTACAACATCAACGGATTATAATATTTCCGAAATAGTGCGTATGATATGCCGGAATAGATAAGGATTTTATTTCTCTAAAAGGAGTCTGCGATCTAGAAAGTTTGAGAACCATTGGTCTAAAAAGTAAATTTTATAGTACTGATGTGTATTAGGGCGGCACTTTAATCAGTTATATTCAGGAATATTTATCCAATGTGTATGTGTGTCATCTAAGAAAATCATTACGAAAACTACTACTAATATGTACATAGATTATAAGATAAGAAAGGGAAAGAAAATATAGTTTGGGTCTAGAAAGGTCCCAAGATAAGAAAGGGGTAGTTTTAAAGTTTGGGTCTAGGAAGGTTCTGGAATGAGAAAAGGTGGAAAGTTTGGGTCTAGGAAGGTCCTGAGATAAGAAAATCCTGCCAGATTTTACTTATCAATAATCACGGTAAATCTTTTGTGTTTAATTGTGCATTTATTTGTGAAATTAGGAATGATTTTTTTTTATTTATTCAAACTACACTTATCTTGTTTCAGAAGGAGAGTTGGTGTTAACAAAAACAAAACACTCAAGGTTAGAAGCTTTGGTTACTGCTTCAGAAATTGTTAACTTAATTTTATTAACTGATGTAGGGAACCAGCTTGCAGTTTTATTAACTGATGTAGGGAACCAGCTTGCAGTTTTATTTACTGATGTAGGGAACCAGCTTGCAGTTTTATTAACT